ATTTTCCACAAGCCAAGGAATGCTGGCGGCCACCAGAAGCTGGAAGAGGCAAGTAATGAATTCTCTCCTAGAGCCTTCAGAAGGAACATGGCCCTGACAACAACTGACATTGGCCCAATGATACTGATTTCAGACTTCTAGCCTCCAGAGCTGCGAGAGAATAAATATGTGGTGTTTTAAGACATCATACACCAGACATAAATTACTTCTGGTAATTTACTGTGGCAGCCATAGGAAGCTTATACGTGGTGCCTGTAATATTTACAGCTCATTTCCAAATGGAATTGCCCTAAGGTCAGCCTCTGCTAAAGGGGAGTTTGTGCAGCACCCTAATGTCTACAGCTGACTAGACTGGGAAGGGTGCTTGATGGGAGGGGTGCCCCTCCCAGGCCTGGACAGTGATTAATTACAGTGTTATTACCTATATGGCTGTGACAAATTACTGAACCTCTGTGCCTCGGTTTCCCTAGACATACAATAAGGATAAAAATAATTCCCTCCTCACTGGGTTGCTATGAAAATTAAATGATTTAATAGATGTAAAGTACTCACAACAGTGCCTGACACATAGTAAGTGCAAAATATATCACATGATGTGGTGTCACCTGGCATACACAAAAAAATGAACTCAGATAATAGGATTCTCTCTCTCAGAAACTGAATATAAAGGGAAATAAAAAAAAAAGACAGCTGATAGCCATGAAGCTGAAATGATGTATTAAAAAAATCCAGGAGGTAGAGGCAGGGCCATTAAGGGTTGTGGCAAACTGAAGTTACAAGAAAGAAAAGAAGCTGTTAGATAAAGAAAAGATACAAAAAGTAAAGCAAAGGAATAAGTTAGTTGGAAGCAGATAAGCACCAGAAAGAGTCGTCATGAAGAAACAAAGACAAGTGGAGGGAAGAAGACAGTCATCCTCTCTTCAGAAATGAAATTGTATCAAGGGTAAATCTTGAACTAAAGTGTGATTTGGTGACAGGAGACAAAGACCGGGGACAAAACACAGGTCTGCCAAGTCCTGATTGTGGCAGGTGAACGTTGATAAAGATACTAAAATCTGAGGCTCAGTTTCGTATATAAAATAGACCAGTAACAATATCTACAGATCGGATTTTGAGGGTGATGAAATAAGATAACGTAGGTGAAAGTGACGAGCATGGTATCGGAGACATGTTTAAGTGCTCCGTAGTTGCTTCTGTTTTAACTTAAGAGTGTTACCTCAGGACATCTGAAAAGGCTTCCACTCCATATTTGGAGCAACAGTAGACTGTTCCAAAGAAAGCAAGTCTTCCCAGAATGCTGGAGACATTGACGATCCTCCCTTGCGCTCTCTTCACCAAGGGAAGCATGCTCAAGGTCACCTCTATCAAACCAATGAGGTTGACTTGGAGGGTACTCATGTAGGCATCAATCTTCAGCCAGTCAGTGTAGCCAAATGGGTGAAAAATGCCTGCATTGTTGACCAGACCCCAAAGTCCTAAGACAACAAAGGCAAAGCAGGAGTTTAGTTTCAGACAAAAATGAGAGACTTCTACCTTGATCAATCTTCCTGCTGAAAACAACTAAAAAATGCTAGACAAAAATATATTTTTCAATCTTTTTAAACACATCTATCAGTAAGAAAGTATAGAAAGGTCAGGCTAAAAACTAAAAGAAGGCAGGAATCCAGGGAGGTAAACAGAACACTGATGCTAGCTTTTTGGTTCAAGGAAATTTGCAAACCAGTGTGAAATTGAAGTTCAGTACTTATAGCCTCAAAAAACATACACATAAAGAAGGTATGAAGTCCAGGGCCCACCTAAGGTAGGGAATCTAATAAAAGACACTTCATTAAACTGGGATGCTAACTGGCTACACTATCACTTTAAGGGTGAGATAGAAAGTCCTTCCAAAGGACTGAAAGTATAACTGCCTGTCTTGAACTCTGGGAGAATTGGCCCTGAGGAATCATAACCACAAGTCATCCCTCGTAAGAGTCTGCAGCTGAATTCACACTATCTGAGTGGCCAAAAGAACAAAAAATAAAAAACTTCAAGCTAAGAATTAAGTTTAAGGTGGCCAAGTGCCCCCTGGCACCTGATGGAAGCAAATGTAGATCCTCTCTGAAGGAATCTTTACGTCAGGCCTTAAAGAATCACCAAGAGAGAGTTACTAAGAAAAACAGGAGTTCACTGTCATCAGTCACTACATACACACAGTAACAAAGCATCATAGGCAAAAAAAGAGCAGAAACCATAGGCAGCAGAGAAAGGCTCACAAGGACTTTAGATACCAAAATTTATAAGACACATAAAGTAAAATATGTGTGCTAAGTGTGAGTTTTAAATAAAAGGGCTTGAAAAATTAATCCAGACAAGATACTATCAAATTGATCAAGAAGATTTAGAATGAACCAAATAGAAGTTCTAGAAATAAAAGGTATAATATCTGACAGTGGACAGATTTAATAGCAGACAGAAAGAGCAGAAAAGAGAAAATGGTAAGCTGCAACACAGAAAAAAGGAGACACTTAGAATACAGTGCAAAGAAAAAAAGAGATGGAAAAGAGTGAAAGAAAAGAGACACAAGAGCAAATTAAAAACAGCTAACACGTATCTAATCAGATTCAGGAAGAAAAGAGGGAAAACGGAATAAAGGCAATATCTGAAGTCACAACAGATGAGAATTTTCCTGACTCTGTAAAAGACACTAACCCATAGAGTCAAAAAGCCAAAGAAACCCCAAGCAGTATAAATAAAAAATTCACATCTAGACAGACTAAAACAAAGCCTTAGTAAGACCAAAGAAAGAGAATATCCTTAAATAGAAAGAAAAGACAGATTTACAAAAGGTGAAACAGGCTGACAGCTGACTTATCAATAGTAACAACAGAAAGCAGGGGACAGTGGAATGGGATCTCCAGTGGGCTGAGAAAATAACCGTAAACTTACAAATACTCATCTAGGAATGAAAGTAAAGACATTTTAAGAAATGTAAAAAACCAAAGAGGAAGGAGGAGGAGGAGAAGGAAAAGGAGGAGGAGAAAAGAAAAGGAAAGGAAAAGAAAGAGAAGTTTTACCCCTAACATATTCTAAATTCTAAAGAATATACTCAGTCAGGAGGAAAGTAATTTTAGTTGAAAGATTCTAGAAGGAATGATGAACAAAGAAAACGGTGAGTAGGGGATAAATCTAAACAAACATCATATATTGTAGGACCAAAAACAGAACTAAAATACATACTAGCAATAGCATATATGTCAGAGGAGGTGATTGAAGTTCAAAGTGTTCTGAAGGCCTTGGATTAGTCAGGAGAAAAAAGTAATACAATGACAATTGATAGAGTAAATACACAGTTAAAATTTCTAGAGGAACCACTAAATACATAGGAATAGAATATGTTACTTTCAATATAGTAATGGAAAAGGTAGAATAAAAATCCAATCAATTCAAAAGAGGGAAAAAAACAGAAAATGTGGGACAAATAAGCACAAAATAAGATGACAGAAATAAATTCAAACATACCGATCATTAAATAAGTGTAGATGAATGAAATGTTCTCGTCAAAAAGGCAAAAACTGTCCAGCTGAATTACTTTGTATATCTAGCTGTATGCTATTTACAAAAGACTCATATAAAATATGGAGATATAAAAAGTTTGAAAGTGTAAAGTCAGAAAAAGGCTCTGAGGCAACAATCTTTGTCACTGAAGGGATGGTAGCATACTCCCCTGAGAGAAGGGCCAAGGAGAAAAGCAGGTGTGGTGAAGAGAAGATAAAAAGACAGAGAGAGTCCTCCTTTACATTTTATGAATTTGAGGTTCCAGCAGAATTTGCAGATGAGAAAGCCAGCAAGTGGTTAGGAATTCAGGTGTGAAGAACAAGAAATAACATAGAAATCAAGATCATAAAGGTAATGGATAAAACTGTAGGTAGGTGGGGTCCATTCAGCATTGGTTGAGCCCGTAACATGTACCAGGCAAGATGTCAGAAACTGGAGTTACAGTAATGGGTAAGAGAGGTCTGTGTCCTCAGGGAGCACACGCTCTAACTGATGGGAAAATAATGACAACAACAACACTGTAGAAATATACTGCTCCGAACAGCACAGCACAGAGGCTGTGACTACCCGTAACTCCTGGTTCTGCCTGGGGGAGTCAAGAATGTCCTCAGGTAGGAGTAATAGTTTAAAGTCAATTTTCAACTTTAAAGTACATTTAAAAAAATTAAACATTCTGCAACCCAAGCAAAACAATTTTATTGCCAGTTTGCAACTCCTAGGATAAATAGACATTGAGGAGGTCCAATTAATAAGATCTATTAAATTATAAAACAAGAGGGAGGAACAAGAAAGAGGTTAAAGAGGATTTGGATAATATCCAAAGAAAATGCAACTTAGAAAAAAGATTGCTCATAATTGCCAAAAATTGAAAACAACCAAGGTATCCTTCAATATGTGAATGAAGAAATAAACTGTGGTAACTACAATAGAATATTATTGAGCAATAAAAAGAAATGAGCTGTTAAGCTACAGAAAGACATGGAGGGACCTTAAATGCATATTGTTAAATGAAAGAAGCCAGTCCAGAAGGCCATACCCAGCATGATTCCAACTATATGACATCTGGTGAAAAACAAAACTACAGAAACAGTAAAAAGCTGAGGAGTTCCCAGGTTTGGGGGAAGGTGGTGACGGAGGAAGAGATGACTAGATGGCTCACAGAGGATTTTTAGGGCAGTGAAATTATTCTACATTATGCTATTAATGGTAGATATGCAATAATTTCTATTTGGCAAAACCCATAGAACTGTGTAACACAGTGTGGATCCTAATGTAAATTACAGACTTCAGTTAATGATAATGCATCAGTATTGGGTCATCAAATATAATAAATGTGGCACGCCAATGCAAGACGTTAATAATAGGAGAAACTATAAGATGGGGGTTGTATATGGGAACTCCATACTTTCCAGTTTTTCTATAAACCTGTAACAGCTCTAAGAAATGAACTCTATTAATTAGAAAATAAAAACTTTTTTTTTAAAAGAAGAGGACCAAAGG